TAATACACATAAAATAAATCTGTGGAAATAGATTAAAGCAGTGCAAATATGGATTTTTGAAAGCCAAACAGTACTCATCAGATTTGAAATCGGAGACGATAACACTGTTGATCAAACAAACAAGTTCATACAACACATTCACACTCTTCGTTAAACACAAATCACAACATAATTCTTATCAATTTTCACAATTCTTTTTTTTTTGTCGCCGGATAGAAAGTACGGCCTCACCTTGTTCTGTCTCAAAATTTTCATCTTTTTCGATCTCAACTCAAACTTCACCAAACTCAGATCTAAAATAGATCGGGATATTTTGTAGAGATTTGCATCAAATACAGGGAAATTTCTCTATTTAACAAGAGAATGTGAAGGTTTTCTAAGACCTACTACAAACCGATACCCAAAACGCAAAAAATGTGAAGGTTTTTCTCAAATGAATGTGCATTTTGTGTTATGAATATGAAAAATTACTTATGTTCGATATATTTTGAAATTTATGTTTTGGATTTTAGTATACATGAAGCCGAAAAAAAAAAACGTAGTGTTATGAATATGTAAGTTAAGTTAGGTTAATATAATTGGTTAATATTTTTATTTTAGTGGTAACAATAATAAAATAACATTATTGATCTATGATAGATTTAATAAAATAACATTATTGATCTATGATAGATTTTATATGACGTATGTTACGTATAGATAATAAATTAATCTAGCCAATATGAAAATATTAGCAAAATCTATTCATAACAATCATACCAAGTTTTTGAATAAATTTATTAACATTATAGTAAATTTTTAAGTTTAAAACAGGAAAATAGTATTTTTTTTCTCTTATTTTAACATGTATTTTTATTATTTGTTGTGTATGAATTGTAAATTTATTATTTTTCCATGAATGGTATAAATATTCATCGTAGAACAGTCGCATACCTTAACTCATAATTTTCTCGTCCATGCTCATACCTTTCGTCTATTTAGCGCATATTTCATCGCATATATCTTCGTACTTTTTGGGATGAAAAACTTAGTTTTTTATTGGGTGGTGTGAAAAACTTAGTATGACTTCAGAACGGGGTGAAAATAGCTATTTCCTCTATCTATATATATATATTAAAAGTCAACCTATTTACTAAAAATAGTAGCAAGAAAAGTCAACACACATTTAATGCATATCTTATTTGGATTTTTTTTTACTATATGTATTAAATGTTTGCATATATACATTTCTTATCCAAATATGATTTTAAAGATTCTTTTCTTAAATAATTTTATTAATTTATGCAATGATTTTACTGCTATCTATTATAACTAATATTTATCGATAATTTTTTTAACCTTTATTTAATTATATAAAACTAATAATTTTTTTTTAAATTAATATTATTTACCATTTAAAAGATAATGATCACATCATTAAATGATTTTATTGATGGCTAGCTAATAAAATTGAAATATATTAGTTATTCTTTAAAATTTCGACGTGTTATTTATTGTGTCTCTATAATGAACTTATTGTAAAATATTTTTCTATTACATAGTATGTTAAATAAACTATAAAGCCTTAGGATGAAAATTAAAAGAATATCTTGAATATGTAAAAGATTATTTTTTAGCAAATGCTAAGTCATTTTTTAAAAAATTATTATGAGAAAATTGAATTCTAAAAAACACGTGTCTGTATTTTGTAAATATTTATACACAAAATTTTATTTTGAATTTCATTACATAAAGAAGACTACTTCTATAACTTTTATAAATAATAATAACGACATTATATGACTGTTGTTACCTAATTTTGGCCTCGCCTATTAAGATAATACACGTGGATATATATATATATATATATATATATATTAAATCACGTGGATTTGCATTAAATCAATTGTTGTAATTTATCTTATTATTAAAGCTCAAAAATAACACCACTTGCAATGATATCGGGCTTCAACTCGAAATTATTTGCATTAACGGGTATCTGCGCAATCCCGCCAATATGCTTATTAAATTCAGGCCGAAAGTGGTCACGAATCGCTTGCTTCTGTTATTCTTGCTCTGCCATTGTGCACTTTGACTTGACCCTTCTTTTTCTAGTTGTTGCACTATTGTGTCTAGCGAATGCTTCAACTTCGTCAATCAAGGGTGTAGTGGTGCACTTTTAGAACGAGTTAACATGCACGTCCTGAAATCAAGAATAAGAGAGATTATGGCACAATAAATAAAAATATCTAAATTAAAATTTTCACTACCTATCGTAATATTGATATAACTAATTATATAGGTCCCCGGCAACGGCGCCAAAAACTTGTTCGCCTATATTTTTAAAGCTCGACCGCAAGTGTACGGCTTCAATCGTAGTATGTGGCAAGCAAGGTCGTATCGCAAGAGACCAAATTATCAATATATCAAATACTAGAATATGATAGTGTCAACTTTATTTAGACGATTGAATATCAGAAGGATTAACTAAACTAAGAAAATAATTCAAAAGATAAGAAATCGATAACAAGAAAACAACTAGAAAAACACTTAAGAAGAATATATGGGAATGGTAGATTCTAAGACTATGAGTTCAATTAACAGTTGGGTTCCTTCAAATATATCACAACTAACTATTTTCTTTATCTACCCTATAAGATGATCACAAAATTAGCCTATCGTCCTTCTCAAGATCGATAAAACCGTAGATTAAATCACATATATTAGCGTCTCCACTCAACACATGCAATTCAACTCCAAAAAAATTGAAAGACCCAAAATCCTCACAACTATATACTAATCTCTCGATTCAAGCAAATAAATTGTGTCAAATATTAAAATCTAATATTGAACTCATCTCTCGAATTATGAACAATATCATCAAACATGTAAAAGCAGTGGCCAATTGCAATTCATGAAATAAGAACAAAATATTTGAATAGGGTTCAAAAGAAAACAATCAACTATGATAAATCATCCAAAAATCCTAAACTATTAATCTACTACCATGTCTTAGAATCAAAGAAATTTAGCTACTCATGTTTGAATTCAAATACATAGACATATTAGAAATCATCATGAGAAAATAAGTTCAAAAGATAGAAAGAAAAACTAGAAATCTTGTGGTTGATCTTCTCTTCTTCCCAATTGCTTCTCTTATGTGTTCCAAACCCTTCTCCTTGTGTTCTCTATGTTCCTCCCTCAGAATAGGGTTAATATGCTCTTTTTAATGTCCAAAACTCCTCTCCTTATCCAAAAGGCAAGGGATTAAAAACTGCTCGCGCGCGCGACACGACCAGACACGCCCGTGTCACGGGTCGTGTCGCAGGTCGTGTCACATGTACTGTATCTACACTCCTCTCTTTGGACGACACGCGTGGTGACACGATCTTGGAGCCCGTGTCACCGGTCGTGTCACACCACTCTACGCTCATTTTTGGCTCGTTTCGCTCGTTCTTTCCATTCTCTTCATCCGTGCATCCTTCTATCATTATCCCGGGAGTCTCAGGCACTCACCATGCTCCTCCAATAGCCAAAACTCTACAAATATGTGAAAATATCTACAAAACAAGCACGTGTAATACCTTTCCAACAAATATA